CAAAAAGCCTCTTCAAACAACTGCCAGGTGCCACGTGAATGTGCAACCCTGGCTCTGCGGTGCTCATCCCCGTCACCCCCTAAGCGGGTTTCCCGCACTGGGCAGGGGCCTCCCCACGTGCTGCGGCTCAGCAAACCCCCCCCAAGCAAACCCTGGTGCTGGTGGTGGGTGGGGAAGTGCGGCTGGCACCCGTGGGGATGGCGGCGGCAGCAGTCCCACAGGGTGACCCACATGGCGTCAGGCCTCCGTGCCGCCCAGCATGGATCAGCTGCCGTGGCTTGATGCTGCATGGAGGTTCCCCAGGGAGCTGCAGCCCCTTTCTGGGCACAGGCTCCACGTGCGGGGAGATGGCCATGCCGTGGTCCGTCTTGAGGGAGAGGGCAGCGGCGCGGTGGGAGCACGGGGTTTGCGGGTGTGCCCTGGGAACAGCCCCGGGGCTGCGTGCTAATGAGGGGTGATCCAGCAGCACCGCGGCAGCGCTGCAATCCTGGCCATGCGTGACACTGAGCAAGGCTGTAATTAGAAGGTGCCAGCGCTGCTGCGGTTTGTCCCTGGTTCAGCCCTGCTTTGTTTCTGCTTCCTCCTCCCCAGGGTGGGGGCAGTCCCATCGGCACGGCACAGGGGCAGGAGCTGGGCCCACGCAGGTCTCCGACTCCAGCCACCACCCACTGCAGCCCTTCTCACGCAGGTTAAAGAGCAGAGCCATGCTTTGGAAGGCAGCGGTATGATGAGGGATTCAAACCTATCTCCCATCACCAAGTTAAACAGTTTGGCGTGCGGCGAGCTCCGTGCTCATGAGAACTCTCCGAGCATCACCGCGGTCCCAGGAGATGTGGGGTCTGCCCATGCAGAGCAACCACAATGCATTTGGGGCTGCGTTTGGGGCTTTCCTGGGTGCAGAGTCGGTGTTTTGGGTGTGAAGGGGCTGATTTTGGTCCTGGCTGTTACCCTGTTGCTGCAGGAGGAGGAGCCCCAAGCTCCACACTGGGAACAACCAGTCACATCCCCACCAGTCCCACAAATCTGCATCCCCCTTGGCTGCTCCTCTCCTCTCCATCAAATGTGGTTGGAATTGGGTAAGAAGTTTCAACGTTGTTGCGCAAGGCAGATCCACGCACACAGCCGCTGTTCAGCCTTGTTTCCCTGGGAAACCTGGCCAAAAATCAAGGCAGGACTCAGAAGGAAGCCCCACATACCACCTCGATTCAAACAGAGCCGCGACGCAGGGAGCCAGCTCTGTGCATACGCCACCGACCATTGCCCACTGTGGCACTTGCTAATGAGCTTCTGCACCAGCCTGAAGATGCTGCCCTTGGGCAGGGTGTGCCTGCGAAAAACAGAGCGGTGGGGCTCGGCGGCAGTGTGGAGACGTCGCGCCACCAAGAAGCTCTTCCTCCAAAAGGTGGTCCTGGCTCTGTCCATCATCATGGCTGAGCTGGAAACAGCTGTGCTGAAATGGGTCTGTGCCTTGAAACCCCCTGAGCTCTCAAACAATTGCAGAGGAAGATAATGATCTTTTAATGGGAAGCAGGGCAGCCTCCTCAGCTTGTGCAAGCGAGCCTGGCTAGCTGGAGGAACAGGCACATTAGCTCGGCAGATCTTCTCACTGTCCCTTTCTCCCCTGGGGTGAAACCCATCCCTGAAGCACTGCACCGCACCAGTGAAATCCCAAAAATGCTCAGAGGGGGTGACAGACTGAGGCCCTGTGCCAAGTCTCCATGCATCTGGCAGTACACGCTGCGCAGGTCCTGGAGTCCAGAGCTGCCTGTGCTTTCCACGGATGGGTGGAGGATCTCCCCTCCTCCGCACCCTCGCCAGCTCTAGCACATTCAGAAATCCCTATTTCCCACCTCCAAGCTCACTCCCAGGCCCACTGCAGACCCCCTCAGCTTTCTGGTTAGCCTTCAGACCATCTCTGAAGACCACTGTGGACAGTGGTCAGACTAAGATATTCTCGATGACAAGCTGCCCATCCTTTCTGAAGGAGGACTCTGGCTTTGCCGTCCCCGTGTCTCCAGTTACACAAACATCCATAGCCAGCGGAGGGGCAGTGGCCCACAGTGACTTACCCTGTGCTGCAGGATTATTTTAGGAAACTTGGCGACAGCAGGGAGCTCACATCTCCCCTTGCCCTCCCCTGGCTTCACCGCTCCAGGGGTAAGAGCAAGAACACGCCACGACGGCCTCGCACAGGGGCTGGGGAGGTGTTTGGTGAAATGCCCAGGGCACGGCCAGCATCCTCTTCCTTGACTCTTGCCAGGCTCAGCTCGAGCCAGCTGGGGTATGGCTGTAGAGATTGGGTGCAGGGAGCCCTTCTCCAGCTTCACCTCCCACCTTCAAAGGCTCTCTCCTCACATCCATCTTCTCCTGTCGGAAACCAGCAGGACCCGCTCCTCCCTCGGCTCGGGAAGGAGAGATTACGAGGGCAGAGCCATCATTTACAGCACCACCTGCTTAAATGATTGCCCGAAGTCGCTCTCTGATTAGCAGCAGAAGCATTGCTTGAGATCACAGCTTCGTTGTGCTTCGGGCTGTACGTGCGCGCACACACGCACATGCACACGCACGTGCACACGCACTACGGCTGTGCACAGATGTCTTTTGGATCCTGCTGAGGCTGTTCAATGTATTACTGTTCCCAGCTGCTCACAGCTGACCCTTTAGCTGGCTGCTGCGCTGGTGGGACCATCGGAGTCATTCACAATCTGTTTTTTGTCAAGAGCCGCAATAGCAGCAAACCTCTGCACCACAGGGGCTGTGGGATCCTGGGGGCAGCGAGCAGGGGACCGGGGATCTCTTGACTCACTAACGCCCTGCTCCTCGCCTGGTCTGACCTCACGCTGTGGCCAGGCCCTGTTCCTAGAGGATTTCACCCCAAACTCACATCAGGCAAGATCTGCTCTGTCATTTCAACCCACCTTTTGTGCTGTCAACAAGCCCCGCCATGGGGTTTGAAGCAGAGAAGGGACCACTCTCAGCTCCAGGTCCACCAGCTCTGGAGGGCAGCAGAAGCTGCAACAACAGCTCGGAAAGGGGACAGCAGGAGCGGGGTATTATCTCAAACCGCGGCAGCTGTTTGCAAAACGAACGTGTGTCCGTGGCCTAGGAGACCGTCTCTTGCCTGGATAGCTGGCAGTTGAAATAAAGACGTTCAGACCGAGGAGACAAAGGCAGGATTGTTATTGCCACAGCATGGATGGGGTTCAAAGAGGCAAGTGACTGTCGTGCACGGAGGCTGTGGCGGAGCCGCCGAGTCCTGGAGGGCTCGCGCGCTGTTGTTGCACGCTGCTAAACGGCAGCTGGAGCTCGTGGAAAACAATTCCCCAATGCCCCTCTCAACACCGGGAAACTCCTGGCAGCTGGGACCTGATCCCGAGTGTGGAGGCCAGCCTGCTGGCGGTGCCTGCACCGGCAGAGAGGACTGGGAAGGGGGAGAGCAACCCTGCAGCTGCTGGGAGAGGCAGATTTCAGAGGGATTCTGGCCGAGGGAGAAGTGCAGGGTTTGGCTCACGGGTGCTGGGTTTGGAAGAGAAACAACCAGCAGTGCCTCATAGAAAAATGCTCTGGGAATTTCTGCGTGGGCTTTGCTGGATGCTGGCAGACCTGCTGACCTCGGGCTGTGCTGATGCTCAGGCCCCGCAAGATGCGGAGCAGGCGTCCGTAAGCTGAAGGCTGTATCTGCCATGCTCCCTGTCTTCATCGCTGGCTGTCTGCTGAGCTGCCGTGCAAGCTCAAAGCCTCCATGCTGTGCTTGGGATCCCGGCTGGGCACCGTGGGATGCTCACGTCTGCCCTTTGTTTGACCTATGCAGCCCATGTGAGGGAGAGGGTGGGCTGCACGGAGCCCCCAGGCGTATGCAGACCCTCACCCTGCAGAGTGCTCCAGCGCTCAGGCTAAGGTGGGCTGAGACCACACACCGGCTCCTGAGCAGCTCTGGCAGCACATGCCCCGGGTATCGCTGTACAGCAGTCTGGCTGCACCATGGTGCTTAGGTGAGTCATCGAGCCTCAGGGACTTATTCACCTTCTCATCTGTGTTTCATTCACCTTCCCACACACACACACTGCTTTGTTGAGATAGTGTTGCTTCTGCCTGACAGAGCATCCTTCCACGAGCCCTGCCTCTGCTCCAGCAGAATGGTGCAGCAGAGCCGAGCGGAGCACACGGACCCTGAGCTGCACTGAGCATGGCTGAATACAGTAGGGAATTTGCAGCAACCTGGACATTTCATATCCATGAAGTAGGAGCTGGACTTGGAGCCAGACACTCTTGTGCTGCCTCTTTTCTTCCCCAGATGGATGCACGAGTCTTTTTTGTCAGAAGCATGTTTGTGCAGAGTCAAGAGCAGCGAGTCTGGATTTGAGCCTGGGCTCTGACCCAGGGCTGCTTGGCTGCAGAGGGAACATTCACAGACACAGGCAGCTGGCGGGTGGCAGGAAACGCTGGCTGCTACACGCATTCACACCCTCCTGCATGTTAGCGGGGATGCAATAAGAAAGCCTGAGAAAAACAAAGAGCATTAGGTTAATAGGCTTTAAAGTAGCTTCCTCTCCCATTTCTGCAGCTAAGCATTCACACTTTGCTTTTGGGTAAAACCGAGTAGGAGCTTCCGTGCCTTGCTGAATAATTTGATGGCAAAATTGGGGTTCAGATGCATTTTCTTCTTCCTGGAAGTGAAGAGGAGATCCCTGCACAGTAAGCTAGGCTCTCTCTCCTCCCTCGCCACAGGACAGCTAGAACAGACTTTTCTTCTCTAGAATGATGTTGCTATTGACAAAAGTATGTAGACACCCACCCACTCATAAATAACTCAGTTATTTCCAAACAGAGCTGGTCTTTGCCATAATTTCCTGCAGTCCCCTGTGCAATCAGGCTGCCTCTGTGCTGTGGCGAGCATTGTTCCGCTCTCCGGCAGACCAGGCCTATCAAGAACTGCCTCTGCAGCAGATCTCCGGGCAACCAGCTCATCCAGGGCTGGATTTCAGTTGAGTCACGGTATCAGGTTGTTTGAAGCATCCATTACAAGACATTTTAATCAGTCTAGGAGGAGAAGCTGTTCCAGTTGAAAAGAACAAAATACTTCAGCTCTTCATGGCTCAGCTGCGTACACAGGGACTTTCAGTACTTAGCGCTTGCAGGAGTCCAGGAGATACGGCGATATTCTCTCGCCATCGTAACCAATGCCCTGGGGCGCTTTCCTGTTTCACCAAACTTCCACTGAGAAGAATTTCAATATGCAAATAACAGCAGCCAAGATTTGTACAAATGGTACTGCTACAACATTTGTACAAATGGTAGTACTCATGATCTTTAATGTTTTTTATATGCCTGCCTGGACAAACCGGGCTAAAGGTACTTTTCAGCAAACCCTGAGCCTTGCTTTCCACAGATGTGGGATGTTCGAGGCGGGGACAATAGATGCATGCATGAAAGCCCTGGCCTTTTTAGAAATGTGGGGTTTGCCAGCATCCTGAGTCCCTTTCCCCCCACCCCCTTGTCGTCCCTTTAGCTACCTGCCTCCCCATCACACACAGAGCCGTGCCGGCGGTGAGCAGCGACCTGCCGCAGGCAACGGCAGGTCTTTGTTGATGACAGAGAGCAACGTCATCTACTCATTTTCAGGAACGCCTTATGAGGAAACAATAGTAGCAATCCTACACTGCACATCATTAGACATATGTATATGCACGAAATAGCTATTTTATGCTGTCTCTTTGTTTAGCAACTTTAAATGCTTTAAAATTAATGGCCTGTAAATATTAGAACCAGACATAATCACTGCAAGACTCAGCTGAAAGAGCTCTTTTCTGGAGGCTGTGGAGTTAGCCTCTGCACAACATCAGGATGTCATTTCTGATATTTTATTAAGCTCCCCTCAGCTGTCCTGGCAGGAAAGAAGGTATTTTTTAACAAAAATAGTGTTTAAAAATATGCTGATTGTTTTCAGCTAAGTGTATTTTCAGTAATAAATAAATGGCAACGAAACAGCTAAGCACCCCATTCGTGCACTTTTTGGTTTTGTGCAGTAGGTCGCTAATACGCCAGCCTTCCCTTAACAATAGACTTCCTTTTTTTGAACTGTTCTTTCAGTTTTGGCCTGATTTTCCCCTCTGAACAAGAGGCTGTCGTCAACTGCTAGAAGAGAGATTATCTCCTCCATTCTTTGTGCCTGAGCATTCTGGCTGGGAAGCCCCAAGGGATTACCACAGGATCATTTGGTAATAAATAGCCATATTTGTAATATTTGGTTACAAATCGCATCCTAATACTCTTTAATAACTGGGCATGTTTACCATACAAACACAAAATTTCTCTTTCATCACAATCCCTCCCAAGATTTCTTCCAACCTATCTTTCAATCTAACCCTATGAGGAACCTTAGAAACAATACTTACATCGATGTTCTTTCATCATACTGCCAAATGAAGTTGTCGGTTCTCTTCTCCCAGACTAAAGCCTGACTCTGCGGCAGCATGAGGGGAGTTTGGTACACAACCTTGTCAGCAAAGCCGTCAGCAGAAGAAAAAAATTATCTATTTTGCTTGCAAGTTTCCTCACTGGGCAGGCACCGTCACTGCAGTGAAACGACAGGATTTTGAAGCTGTGGGGACTCAGGTGGTCCCGATTCCTCTGATCTCCCCAGCTCCAGCCCTTCCTCTGGCTCCGGTGGCCCACAGCCAACCAGTAACATACAGCACGGAGACCAGGGTGGTGTTTACTGCCCGAACATGGCCCTACAGCCTTAACCAGAAGACTAGCAGAGTTTGTTTCAGTTTCTAAGTAAGTCAGGAAAATTTCTTTAGTGATCAGCTGGCAAACTTTAAGTATTCCTTTGCTTTCCCACTGCTTAAATCTCCTATTTCATGATTAAGGTTTAAAACTGGTGAGAAAGAGCAATGCCTATCTGCTTCTGTCTCAGAAAAAAAAAAAAAAAAAGAAGAAAAAACCAAGTAACCTCTGTTAAAATATATTAATGCATTTTTGGAGGCAGTGATTATTTTCTTTAATCAACACAGGGCAGCGCAGCAATAATTACACTCACGTCTTTTTGCCCAGTAAAGAAGGGAAATCAGGTGCACCACAGCCCCTCTGACCGCTTTCCCTTTGAGTCTATGGCCCTGGTCCCATCACACAGTACCTGGAAAAGCCAGTCCAGCAGCTCTCCAAACAGGCCCTTTTCTGCTCTTTGGCCATGCTGTATCCCACCCCACTTCACTACCATACACGCATTTTTATTTCCTCTCCTGTCTCTGTGCAGCCGATCTGGAGGAGTCTGAGCTGTCCCTAAGGGTTTCCCCTCCACTGTGGCTGCTGCAGCTCGTGACTCTGCTGGAGGCAGTGGCACAAGTCCAGCATCACCGCAGGGATCAGCCCGCCGGGTGGGAGCCCTGGAGATCCCCACATGCACACATGGACATACACATATGCCAGACAGAGCAGACCTCACACTTGTGGAAACAGACACAGCTCTCCCCTGAGGGCTGCAGGACATGGAGTTGGTGCTGCCATCTGCTCGGTGGGCGCACCAGAGGAGGAGCAGGGCTCTGCTTTTCGAGCTCTAGTGGGGACCCACTGAGTGCAGACTCAGCATAGTCTGCTTTCCCCATTCCTGTTTTTGCAAGAGACATGACCCCGTTTTAAAACCTTTGAGCTAGTTCCCCCAATTTAACAAGCCTCTGTTACAAACCTACATTCATTCATTAATGCTCAGACTGTTCTTATTCTATCCCCTTTCTAATAACATCGCATTCTCACCAACGCTTATTTGGGATGACTGTGGGAAGATTTTGAAACCAGATATAGGCTTGGCAAAACATTCATTATGGCTGTGGCTCATCTTCTCAACCAAGAAATTGCATATTCCCCCAGTGCTCCAAATCTGCTTCCATTTGCTGAAACAGCAATTTGACATTTAAGTCATTTGGCTCTTCTCAGCGGTTTCACATTTTACTTCTCAGGTTTCCTGAGGAATTTGTTGCAGACTAATATTTAATCATGCTCTGGTAGGGTGACAGCTCAAGTTTAGCAAAAATATTGCTAATATTCAGATCTGGAATAATTTAATTCAAAAGCAGATGCTTTCCCAAAGCAATGGATTTATTTAAATACTAATTTTAGGGAAATGTTTGGGCTGGTTACAACCAGCACTACTCTGTCAGCATGTAAAGCTCTGTGCAGTGGGTTCCTGACAGTTGTGACAAACTGATTATCCTTTTTTCTCTCGTCCAAAGACTCCTCCAAGTAGAGGAGACAATAGGCATCGAAGCCTGTTCTCAGACAGAGGACAATTAATCCACTGACTTTTAAAACTGCTTTGGGGCTGACACTGACAGAAGTTGTCCATTAACAAAATATGGGAGGGATGTCCACATGGGACACAATTTCAAATGGAGAGGTCCCTTTCCAAAACTCTCTCTACAATGAGAGATTCATACAGCTAAAATTAAAAGGCTCTCTGCTGGCTAAAAACAAGCACTCTGAAGGTTTCCAAGTGCTCTGTTAGCAGGATCCGAACATTGTCCTTGCTTCATCCAGTTTCATTTGGGGTTTATATAAACCACAAGCACAGTCTGCAGTTCACTAGCTAGTATTTTTGCTAAAATCTTTAAACAGTGATTTAGTAATAATATGGGCCTCTAAGAACTGCACACAGCAAAGGCTCCTCTCACCAGGAGAACAACTACAGTAGTTTCTTTCATGGACTGTAGACGTTCCTCTTGAAAGGAATGGCCTGAAGGTCACTCCTCAGGGCTGTGCTAACAACACCTTAAATACCTTGTGACATTCATCTGGATACTATCTGACCCCAGAGCTTCTCAAACTCCCTGTTGCCTCTACAGTTTCTCCTGTTACTTCCTAAAATTTCACGTTTAATCAGTCCCATGTATGTTCAGCTAGTCTGCTGGTTGCAGATCTACTTGAGTAAGTCCAGAACATGGGCTATTTGAGGACTAGAGGATTTTATATTAAGCGGCAACAGTAGCACGTATTTCGTTATGATGTGTAATGATCGTTGGAGATTGTTTTTAATTTAGGAAAGAACCCTTGAGTCATTTCAGGCTTTCAAGCCAATATCTTCTTCACTTCCATATGGCATCTTTATGTTCCTAAAGGTTTGCTTGCTGGCGTCTGTCGCCAACATATTCAATTATACCCTTAAATGAGTTAATTGCGACATAGGTTTCTGATCTTCTGTCTTCATGACTCTCTTGTAATCTTTTTCGCTCCTTCCCTAGGATTCATTTTTCCCAAGCTCACTCTATCTGTACAAGTCTCTGTTTATTGACTGATGCTGGCACTGAAGACTT